TCATATTATATTACATTCTCATGTAGCGCTTATTATATGTTAGACACTCAACAAAATACATGTTATTCTATGCCATACCAGCAATGCTACGAGATAGGTATTTTTCCTACTTTATAGTAAACTGAGGTTTCCAAACCCAAGCCAAACCCACTGCCATGGAGTCGATTCTGACTCTTATCGACCCCATAGGACAGAGTAGATCTGCCCCATAGGGTTTCCAAGGCTGCAAATCTGTGTGGAAGTGGACAGCTACATCTCTTTTCTGCAGAGCCAGGTGGGTTTGAACCGCCATCCTTTTGATTAGCAGCTGAGTGCTTTAACCACTGTGCCTCCAAACTGAGGCTTATAGGATGCTAAATAATTTGCTCACTGATACATAGTTGGTCAGTGGTGGAGCTAGGACTCAAACCCATGTCTGTCAGGCTGCGAAACCATCAACCAGATTCCCATCAAGTCAACTCTTCACATTTGATGCTCAGCCCTAGAAATTTCCAGGCCTATGCTAAAACATGGCCAATTCATGAGCCAACCTGTGACTTTTGCAACTCATGGTGCTCTCAGGCATAGATAGGTTATTGCAGTAGAATGAGGTTAGCAGGAGGGGCTGGGATATAGAGTTAGAAGATAAACTGATAGTTTCTAGCTAGAAATGTGGATATACCATGGAAGATGGCGTGAGAAAGAGTCGTAGGAAGTCATGGGTATCCAAGAAGGGGATAAAAACATGGGACAGGAACAGCACAAGCTGTATGTGAAGTTTCATTTGAATCTGTGGAGGGAGTCTGTAGTTGGGAGGTTCTCAAAACCTCAAAGTGCAGAATTATGCAAGTATTTGAAACTAGGATTTGTCCCAGAGCAATGGTTCTTAAATTTGGTCTTGCATCCGAATCTCCTGGAGGGCCTGTGAAAATACAGGGTTTTGATTCAGTGCATTTGGGGTGGGGCCCTAGAATTTGCTTTGCTAACAAGTTCTCAGGTATTGCTGCTGTTTCTTGTCTTGGGTCCACGCTTGAGAACCTCTGCCCTAGTCCCGCAGGCCAGACCAGCCTGCTACAGAGAGTGATTCCAGATGTGGAAAATGGGATTTGTGTGAAGATCAGGCAGGTCATTGCAATGACAAAATTCTCTCTGAGATCCTTAACTGCATTTCACAATATCCATAGGTTGGCAATATGCCCCAAATAACTAAATTTACAGAGAGAGAATTTTCCCAGGTTTTTTAGTTCAATGAGCACCATATTTCCTTCCTCTGGGTATATGACTGACTTTAGCCCACCACAAACAAAGGTCCAAAAATAAGATAATTTCCAACCCCTTAGCTATTATGAACCTCAGTCCAAATTCAAATGGGCTCTTCTGTTGCTTACCCCTAAAAATCCTATCAGGCATGCATGCCCTTCTCTCATTGCATTTATCCCGTAAGAATCATTTCATTATCTCAGGTTTCAAGAAAGTATGTTTGTTTGGTTGTTTGTTTTTTCTCAAGTATCATTTACTTTTAAGCCTTTTAGATTTTAAAAACAATTAAAAAAATATATTCCAAATTCATTTACACTTATATCACTAAAGTATTACTTTAAAAATTGTTAAATGTAATCTAATCTCACATGCTTAAGAAAAGTCCACCTCTAAAAGAATGAGCATTGAATTTTATTCTGTTTGTCTCTTTATATATATATCTGTGTTTGTGTGTGTATATAATTCTTTTTACATTTTATTTGTTTGATTTTTAGAGTGGGAGTTTCTGAGTTTAATGCATACAGTATTGAATTCCTATTCCAAAGGGTTTCCAGAGAAGCAGTTCTTTAATAACTGGGTCTAATTTTCAACTAATTAAATATTTTAGATTAGAAAAGAATCTTAAAAGTTATCTAGTTCAAGGGTCAGCAAGCTTTTTCTGTAAAGGGCCAAGTAGTAAGTATTTTAGCCTTTGCAGGCCAAATGATCTCTGTTGCAGCTTTCCAACTGTGCTGTTTTCGTGCAAGGGCAGCGATAGACAATACATAAATGACTGAATATAACTATGTTCCAATAAAACTTTATTTACAAAAACAGGTGGCAAGCCAGATTTGGCCTCTAGGCCATAAGGTGCTGACCCCTGATCTAGTTCATTTCATTAATTTCTCTGTGAGGAGACTGAAACTAAAGAAATTAAGTGACTGGCCAGGAAACGTCAGGGCAAAGTCTAATATTCAGGTCTGAATCCCAGTCGAGTGTCTGTACCGCTAAGCCACATGGCACTGTAAGGCTGCCCTAAGGGCTCTCTCTGCATTAAGTCAATTACACATCAAAGATTTTATTCCTTCAGCTGCCACTGCTTCAAACACAGTGTGAGGCCAGGTGTTCCCAGGATGTCCTTTGTGCTTTTCTAGTCACCTAGTTCTAAAAATATCTCATTTCGAATGATCTTTAAGAGGTTTATGTGCTTGTGAGAGTAAAGGAAATATACACCTAGGAGTCTGAGATTTTTCGTTTGCAGTACTTTCGTGGGCTAAATCATGACACCGTTTCAAGGAGGCCAAGGTTGAAGGCTTGATTCTTGAACTGGTACCAAGAGAAGCTATTCCAAGGCCACAGATGGCTCAGGCCACCCGACCGAGCGTTTTTCAGATGTGTTCTGTGATCACACTGGGCTCCAGGAGAAAATGTAGATGATCCACAGCAATGTGCTCCTACGGAAGGAGAAAGACTCAGCATCAGTGCTCTCGAGATTAAAAGCAATTCATTTATCTCCATGAAGGACACATTTTTTTCCCATTGCTGATTTTAGAACAAAAGCTGTCAACCATGCCTTTTTGCATCTGGCAGATATTATGCTGCAAGATAATCTGCAAACTAATGGAACACTTTTTATACCCTTTGGCAGTATCTTGGATAAATTTATATTGACTTTATCTAGGTCATTTTTGTCCTGCCTGATACACAGGACTATTTATTATTTTACTATGTATCATCTTTTCGTTTTATCTTGTGATTTAACCATTATTGTTATGCCATACCTCCTGCTTCCTCCCTGAATCTGTTACAGGGCAAATAAGTTGAGTCCTATTATGAGACTCTTGCGCAAAGCATTTGAAAGTTGTTAATAGTTTGTTGGTGTTCCAAATTAGAAACCCATCTTCTTGTGAATATTTTTTTGGTAGATGTTAAGGATTGAATACGTATTATAAATCCTAACCCCTATACCTGTGGTTATAATCTCATTTGGAAATTTTTTGGGGGGGTTTGTTGCTGTTGTTATGTTAAGAGGCCATATCAGTGTAGGATGTGTTTTAAGCCAATTACCTTTGAGATATAAAAAGAGCAGAATAGAACAGAGAAACAAGCAGAGATGAGGGAAGGTACAAGCCACATGACCTCCAAGGAACCGGGGAATAGAAGTTGAAAAGAAACAAGGACCTTCCCCCAGAGCTGACACACAGAGAGAGAGCCTTCTCCTAGAGCCGGCACCCTGAATTCTAACCTCTAACCTCCTAAACTGTGAGAAAATAAATTTCTGTTCATTAAGGCCACCCACTTGTGGTATTTCTGTTATAGCAGCACTAGATCACGAAGACAGGGTGGTTCTTGGATTTGGAAGGAACAGATTCTTGGGTCATCTGTGTGTGTGTATGTATGTGTGTGTATGTGTGTTGGGGGAAGGAGTTGTTATGAGGATATCTGAAGCTACATCTGGAGGTGTCCGGATCTGGGGCAGTGCTAGTGACCTGCCACTCTTTTGGTCTCTCTTACATGGTTTTCTTGGTCTTTACTTCATATTTGCTGCTCTCTTATTCTCTTGTTGCCAGTTGGTCAGTTGCCTGTGAATTCTCTCTCCCAAATTAAATAGAAGTCAGTTTTATTGTCTTTGCTAATTAGCACTCACCCCATCCATAGACGTTCTCTCTCTACAATGCCTATGTTTCACCAAGAAGCCTTTGAATGGACCACCCTAGGACAGATGACCACCTTGCCTTATATTGGCTATTTGTGGCCCCTCTGCACAAATAGGAGCCCTGCTGGTGCAGTGGTTAAGAGCTTGGCTGCTAACCAAAAGGTCAGCAGTTCAAATCCGCCAGCTGCTCCTTGGAAACCCTATGAGGCAGTTCTACTTTGTCCTATAGGGTCACTATGAGTCAGAATCAACTTGACAGCAATGAGTTTTTCTCTGCACAAATAACAGCTTGGTGCCACTGCCCTGAAAAGGGTAGTGTTATCTAGGAGACAGACACTGGACAAAGAGCTGAATAACTTCTTAAATGTTGTTATATTTCTTTCTCTGTATTAATTTTATTGTAGAAGTAATTCACATTCTCGTTGAAATTTTTTTAAACATGCAAACCTTAAAGAAGAAAATAAAAATCATATTATCACCCACATACAACAGCTGTTAATATTTTGCTGATTATTTTCCAATTTTTTCTCAATAGGTTCATACAGTTAATAAAGATAATGAACATACAATCTTATACATTTCTTGTTTAACATTAGAGCATAATTTTCTCTCAAGTATGTAAATATTCTTCCCAAACGATTGTAATTAGCTACAAAAGACACTATAGTATAGCTATACAGTCTTTACTTAACCAGTGTTGGACATTTAGAATGGGTTCATCTTTGCTTATTAAAATTTATCAGGATTTCATATTACTTCATTAAGACAAATTCCTGGAAGTAGACTTACAGGGTCAGAAAGAATGAGATTTTGAAATCTTTTCATTGCTTTTCTAGAAGTTTGTTTTGATTTTTACTTTTCCCAGCAGTGTATGAAAGAGCCCTTCTGGGCACATTTTCACAGCATTGAATGACAATATTTTTAAATGAGTCTTACTGTGTTAAAAAATGGTGTTTTCTTGTTATTTCATTTATTTCTAAGGCTTTATTATGGAGTGTATTGATTATTCTGCTAATGTTGCTGTAATAAAGTAGTTGAGAGCCTAACCAGGTCCATGCAGAAACACTTGCCTTTCAGTTTTCATGGTTTGAGATGCTAATACAATGAACATCTGTGTCTCCTTTAGCCCTCATACACGGAATTTGACATCAGTGGCAATGTCCTTGCTCTGATCTTCAATCAAGGCATGATCTGGTAGGCCAGCAGTGGGGCGGTTTATCACGAATGAAAAAGTCTCCAAGGTCACTTATTGCAGAAAGCACTGTAGCGTGGTGTCAGAGGAGACCACAATTTGTGTCTAACTCATTGGCCTGTGCAAAGCGGATGACGATGAATAGTTTCCTTCTTTTTTTCTTTTTCATGTCTTAAACCTAAGCAGCCCTGGTAGTGCAGTGACTGCTAATGTAAAAAGTCAGCAGTTTAAACCTACCAGTCACTCCGTGGGCGAAAGATGTGGCAGTCTGCTTCCGTAAAGGTTTATAGCCTTGGAAACCCTATGGTGCAGTTCTACTCTGTCCTATAGAGTCACTGTGAGTCGGGATTAACTTGATACCAACGGGTTTATCTTAAACCTCGGTTATCAAAGGCAGATCTGCCTGTTTCACAGAGTACTCCTTTGTCAAATATAGGAGTCTATTTTCTGGCTGGTAGATTTCTCTGGGTGGTACAAGCAATTAATGTGCTTGGCTGCTAACTGAAAGGCTGGAGGGTCTGGGCCACCCAGAGGCCCCTCAGAAGAAAAGTCTGACAATCTACTTCTGAAAAATCAGCCGTTGAAAAACTTACAGAGAACAGTTCTACTGTGATGCACACGGAGTCACCATGAGTGGGGATCAACTCAATGGCAACTGGATTACTGGTAGATTTCTTTGAAGGTTTTCATATTTCTAGATCCTGTGACAGCAGGATCTTACAGTGAAACATCAACGACCATACTACCATGTGTTAAGTATGAAATAAATTAATGTAAGGCCTTTCTGAGAAACTGATTTTATTGTGTCATCACTACTGAATATATTGAAAATACAATGTGTAGGTACTTTAAAAAATAATATCTCACCAAATCCATTTGTTTATAGAGATGAAACACATATTTTAGGAAGGTCAAGTTAAAAATATCATCTTTACTATGTAACTCATTTCACAGAGTCATTTGCACATCAGAGTTATTTCTTTTGATGTGCAAAGGATTGTCATAAATCCTTTGTGGAATGAGAGTATTCTCGCTGTAAACCTGACAGGTTAAGAAGAGTTGATACAGTAGAGACAGTTTTTGAGTTTAGAAAGGAATCACAGCATGTGATTCATCTGGGGACCATGTGTTGTGGAAATCTGTCACTCTTAACTAAGAGTTACCCAACCCTCAAGCAGTGACAACTGAGCTGCTTTATCCCATTGACACATGCCTAATACAATATTGTGCTATCAGCTACATGATTATTCTATGCTCAAGTACCAGTAACTAGCCTCAGTTTTTGAGCAGGCTTCATATGTTACTCAAATCCTTCAACCATAGCTGGCTTGAATTATTAAACATTTATGTGCAGACAGACTGGATCTCTATGCAAATGTGAAAATCGTCCTGCTTCGGTCATGTAAAAGCTGCTCTCAAAGACCCCATAGTCCTGCCGTGGGACCTGTCAAATACCTGTGTCTCAGTAGGTGAATCAATAGGAAGAAAAGACGGTATAAACATTATTTTCTGCCTTCCCAGGGATATCTAAAAATGTCATTACTGTCCCCTCACTTTCTAAATTTTGTAAGTTATGGCTTATGTGTCCAGACTAGCACTAAGGAGTGAAAGATATCCTTTATTCTCCAGGTAAGAAGGAAAATCAAGATGGCCCAAGGTGTGACTACCGACAGAGACAGTAAAGGGAGCAGCTTCTCTGAGTTCTGCAACTTTCCTTTCCTGGAGGGGATTCTGCTGTATGGCAGAAAATGGCTAACACTGCTACCGGAGTAATGAGAGACTACTGCCTTATATTTCAGTTTTAAAATGCCCAGGATCTTACACAAAGTGCCATAAATCCCTCAGGCCTGGTGGGGGCCATTTGTGCAGACATCTGCTGCCTGTCTATTGTGTTCTTTCTGCGTTAAGACAACAGATCGGCCTAGAAATCCATTTTTATTGTCAGAAAAGCTGTTGTGATGGCTGTCCTCGTTGGTTTTACTTGTAATTTCGAAAGTATTTAGTCCACTATTGTTCATATTATAATTCTTAAAATCTAAAATTCATATCCAGTTATCTCACAGGCAAATCTGTTATCAAAATCTCTCACCCATTGTTCTATCACTTTCTATGTGTTTATTCTTCTGACAATGGTCAAGTCTTGCTTCTGGTTAGTTTGAAGAGAACTTTAGAAAGTGATCATGTTTTTTTTTGAGTGTACACAGATACTCACACACTTTCTAGAGTCTCAGAAGCAAAAAAAACAAACAAACAGAAAAAAAAAAAAAAACTATTATTCATCCTCAGGCCAATTCTCTGCACAAATACCCTTCTACTAACTCCTAGGGGATTGTTGAGGGAGTGAGGATTTGGCAGGGTAAAGAAGGTGTCGGAACAGCGTGTAACATAAGTTTAGAAGGCTCACCCCGCCCAAGGGTGCTCACATATGGCTATTTCACTAATTTATGAGGCATAAAGATCTGACAGCCAAGCTTGGCCATTTTCTACAGAAACAATCAAAAAGGTACATAGAGATTTTCGTGTTGATTCAGTTGGTTTGTGACTAAAGATGTCCAACTACTGCTTTTGGAGGTGTTGAGTAATGAAGACATTCTTCATGCTGATGTTATCACAGGCTATCTTTTATGGGTAAAATCCATTTTGTTATGACGATTTTGTTGAACTTATCAGTAAACCTTTACATTGCACACTAATTTTTAAAATAGACATCATAGGCTTTTGTAAGCATGTTTTTCAAGGATGAAATCTCTGACATATCAGAGTGGAGAGAGGCAGCAGAACACACACAGTGAGGGAGAAGATGAGTTGTGGACATCACTCCCGACACTGCCTCCTTGGGCATCCTCCACCCAGTCCTGTAACCTTTTCCGACTCATTTTCTCAGTTGACGAAATGTAAATTGTTTACCTGCCACATACCATGCCACTGGCGTCGTAAGGAGAGTTAAATAAAAGAAATCTTCATTTGCTTTGATCTTCTAGGAAAAAAAGCATTTTAGAAGGTGCAGGTTTTACAATGATCTTCAACTGACAGATAATGAGATCAATCCTGGAGAAGGGGCTTAGTGAGCCAAGCTGATGAGTGAGTCACGAGCACAGCTAGGATGAGTATTAAGGCTCAGATATCACTGTGCCAGGGCCTGTTTTCCTAAGTTATGGTTTTTGAGTCATTTGTTCAAAATGTCTAAGTGACATTTATTTTGAAATTTATTAATCTATAGATAACACCTACCTATGTGTGTACATACACATGCATACATACAAACAATACACATATATATAGGTACAAACATATGCGGTTTTAGGCAAGCCTATGTTTTGAATTATATGCAGAATTATGTCTTAGGTTGGAATAGATTGTGCTGCAATTAAATACACCCCTAAAATCTTAGTGGCCTACCAAAAGAAAGAAGAGAAAAAGGTTTATTTCTTGTCTATGCTACATGTCCAATGTGAGTTGATAGAGAGCTCTGCTCTTATAAATACCTTCACTTCGGAGACCCAGACTGAAAGAATGGGACCTATCTGGAACATTAAAGGTCACTATAACAGGGGGAGAAAAGAATGAAAAAACATGTGGGGCGCTTACTGTTTCTACCCAGCAGTGAGACACCTCATCTCTGCTCACATTTTATTGACCAAAACAAGTCATATGTCCAGGCCTGATTTTCAGAAGAGGGGAGGAGTATCCTCATCCTACGAGCATATTACATCACAGCTATGGTATCTGATACCAACTGGTAGTGCTTTGTAATTCTGACCCCTTAGCTAGGACTATCATTTATCCACTTTTTTGGAGTTCCCAGTTCTCTGCTGCTCTCCTGTAAGAAAGATACCCTGTGCTGTTCCAAAGTCTACTTTCCCAGTTGTTTTTAATAGTGTGACTTTCTACAATGTCACTGGTCAATTCAATATAGGAAAAATATCATTCAGATCTGCCGTCCGGAATCCTGTCAACAAATCAACAAATTCATTTTCAATGGAATGAATTAACTTTGGGTTTAAGTAAATTCAGTCATAGCAGAAAATAATTTCTTCATCTAATCTAACCACCCCTCTCCTAGAATATACCAAATTTGCATTGGATTGGTTTAAACAACTTCTCTGCATATTCAGGAAGTCTCAAATGCTAAGCATAACTAGAAATGTTGAGGGCTTTGTTATAGTTGGGGCAGTTTAACAGATAGGACTCTGTTTATACTTCTAAAATAAGCGCACATGTGTCCTCCTTTAGGTTTTGGGCTAATAAATTGCTATTTATATTGTTTTATGGTGCTAAAGGACTTTCTCATCAATGAAAATTGAAATTTATTTTGTTGAAAGAATCAACTCAGCCATCAGGTAGAAGTGACCTCTCCTAACTGGTTCCTGGTTAAAAGTGCTATTTTAAATAAGTTTTTAAGAAGTCAGATGCACAAAGCAGGGGATTCCTAGGACAATCTAAATTCAGGAAGTAAACAGATAAACAAAATTAAATGCCTGTATGGAATTTTCATCTCAAAACACATGAAGCTAGCTATAAATTATCAACAAAGCATATTGTCATACTCGTTGCCATTAAATCGATTCTGACTCATAGCGACCCTATAGGACAGGATACAACTGCCCCATAGAGTTTCCGAAGAGCAGCTGGTGGATTCAAACTGCCGATCCTTTGGTTAGCAGCCAAACTCTGAACCACTGCGCCACCAGGGCTACATGTTGTCATACTGGACACAAATACACATATTGTCATATTGGACACAAATACATCACTCCAAACAGCTCTAAAACACCATAGCAGCTACAAATAAAAAACGATTAGCATCAGAAGAAGAAAAACTTATTTTAATTTTTTTTAGTAAAAATTAATTAGCCTTGATGAAAGTAATTAAACCAAATGTACAGTTTATTTGAACAGAATGAGTGGTTTTAACTGTCAGTTACTTAAAAAGTTAACATTTTAGATATATTAATCAATGATATGAGAATTAGAAATCAAGTTTATTTAAAAATTAAAAAAGAAAACTAAAAGAAATGATGGAAATATATTGTTTAACTCTTTTGTAGTTTTAATTTAGTAATGATAACAGGTATATTTTGTGAACAGCATAATTTCCATGAAAGAATTATGTATATAATACCTACAATAATGGGGTAATGGTAAAATGTAGATAGAGGATAGAACTAGAGCAGCTGGGTTTATTTATAAACAGAGTTTGTGTGGATGAAAGTGGCAATACATTTTCTGTCTTCAGAAATTAGGCATGTTGTAAAATAAACAGGTGTGTGGCTTTGTTACGGAGTAAAAACTCAAAATTGAGCAGAGTTCTATTTTTCTTTCTAGGATGGGCTCCTTCTATGCTCCCTGCCTCCCAGGCATCAACATTCTTCGACTCCACACATCCATGTATTTCCAGTGCTGGGCTGTGATGTGCTGCAATGTTCCTGAGGCCAGGGTCTTCAAATCTTCCAGAGGAAATACTTTCTACCTGGGCATGCTATTGCTCATCCTCTTCCTGTCCACCATGCCTGTCCTGTACATGATCGTATCCCTGCCGCCATCTTTTGATTGTGGCCCATTCAGGTCTCTCACCTTTGAAATTCCATTTGGGCATTTTTTTCTTTCGGGGTGGAGATGGGAATGGTCACTCATTGTATAACCTATATTTTGTTTGCAAACAATGACATCATCATTCTGTAGAAATGAGATCCTTTGGGTATTCAGGCTCAGTATGTGACATGGAGATTGAGTTCTTGGGCAAGTTCCATTTGTTTCCTCATTTGGGAATCATAAAAGGGAAAATAATTTAATTGCTCCAGTGCCTGCCTGGGTAAAATATAGGCAAAGAATCTAAGCTATTTCCATATTAGGAGATAAACTAAGAGCAAGATTTTTTTACATTAGTCTGGATGTGAAAGTTTTCCTGATGCTAGGCGATTACATCCAGATACAATAAACCATTGCTAACTCTCACATGGACCACCAAATTAAAAAAATAATAAAGTCGATTGCCCCATAGCAAATGGAAAGATTATTAGATTACAGTGAATATAAAGAAGGCCACACAATTTATAAGCCAAAATGCTACATGTTAAAAAGAAAAACTGAGCATGTTCCTCTTATGTATTCTCCTCAAATATCAGAGATACATCACTCAAGTTAGTAATGAAGAGTTAAGAAGACTCTTCGTCCAAGCTGAAGATATACGTTTCTAGTCTTCTATGACAGACTTCTTCCTGTGACGCGTATCAAGAAAGCAAAGTCACTGGGGTCTGGAGAGTTGGGACGTCATTCCTTAAAGGGCCTCAGAAATCACAGTCCCCCAACAACCTGCATGTTGAGTCACTAGGTAGCGTGCATTTGAGTTAGTTCCCCTTTTCAGTGAAGGAAGCGTGAACATGAAAAGCAATGAGAATGACAAGCATGATGCAGTAATGGCCACATGTAATTTCTCCTTCATGCTGTCAGACTCACGTTGTTAAAGTCAAAGTGTTCTTTGCCAACGACTAAGTACAAGTATAGAAGAGGCATTTTCACTCTAATAATAGTCTGAGTTATTATTGATTTATCAGAGATGAATGAAAGAAAATGTTAGGCCAGCTGAGAGGGCAAAACCAGCTGGAGTTCTGTCATACTCAGGAGGCTGATGTTGACACACACTGTATTTTTTCTCTTTTTCTTCCAAAGTGAGCTGAAATAATGTAGAGAGTGACATCTGGAGGCTAAATATGAAATTGCAGTCTTGAAGGAAAGACTGGTTTTAATAAATCCTTAACAAATCTTGGGGTACAAAGTTCAAGAGATAAGCCATGCAAATACTTTAGTTAATTGCAAATTACCAGCACAGTTTAATATCCAGCATAAGCTTTAGGTGTGCTTTTAACTTTTTAACTGGAAGTTGATCCTTCTCAGTAAAACATAAAAGACTTCAGCTGTCTATAGCACTGGTGGCGCAGTGGTTAAGAGCTCAGCTACTAACCAAAAGATCCATAGTTAGAATCCACCAGCTGCTTCTTGGAAACCCTAGGTGGCAGTTCTACTCTGTCCTATAGGGTCCTTATGAGTCGGAATCAACTTGACAGCAATGGTTTGTTTTTTTTTTTTTTTTTTGGTTTAGCTGTCTATAAGGGAAACCACACAAATTAAAAATGGAGTGAATGGTGATTACACAGATGCATTCATATTGAAAGTGTCATTGAGCTAGACACATACAATTACTGTGCAATGTTAGTCCCTTGAGCCCTAACTCTGTGCTTCTCTTTATACCACAGACCGAGTGTCTTAGCATCCAGTGCTGCTATAACAGAAATACCACAAGTGGATGGCTTTAACAAAGAGAAATTTATTTTCTTACAGTCCAGTAGGCTAGAAGTCCAAATTCAGGGCATCAGCTCCGGGGGAAAGCTTCCTCTCTCTGTCAGCCTTCTCATCAATCTTCCCCCAGACTAGAAGCTTCTCCACACAGGGACCCCAGCTCCAAAGGCCGTGCTCTGCTCCCGGCACTGCTTTCTTGGTGGTATGAGGTTCCCTGTCTTTCTGCTAGCTTCTCTCTTTTATATCTCAAGAGATTGCCTCAAGATACAGTTCAATCTTGTAGACTGAGTCCTGCCTCACTAACACAACTGCCACCCATCCTCCCTTATTAACATCATAGAGGCAGGATTTACAACATATAGGAAAATCACACAATACCAAGAATCATGGCCCAGCCAAACTGATACACACAATTTGGGGGGAACGTAATTCAATCCATGACACTGAATTACTCTGATTTGTACTGAAGAAAATGAGTCTGTATGTAAGGTATAGTATCTCACTTTGACCAAGTGTTTCCTAAATGGCAGACGTAAGCAAAAACACCACATGTATTTCACTATTTTGAGGTCAGAGAACTTTAAATATTTTCAGTGGAGTACCAGGAAAGGGGCGTCTCTTCATCTTATTTAGACAGTCTATTTTAGAACAAAAGAATGTTTGCCTTGTTTACTCATTTGACTTAGAAGTTGAAAAGGGTTTTTCTGCTCTAGGAATGAGGAGAGAAAGCGTTTATTAGTAGGAGCCTCAGGGCTCACCATCCTTTGGGACTCTGAGTTTGAGGTGGTTTGCCCTGCCTATTTTAGTAAAGGTCCTCTGACTCTATCTGCCTCCTGTGTGGGCAGCAAATTGGCAACATGCATTTGAAAGGTTAATAGAGACATCAGATCATAAAAATGGTGCAGGACCAGGCAACGTTTTGTTCTGTTATACATGGAGGCATCACAGTGATGGCCAATTAGGTTGGGGGACTTTGCTCCCAGGTGCAGATATGTTTTTGGGTAAAATGACTATATACCTTTAGAAGGCCCATTCAGCAAAGCCAGTTGAGATATTCTTGCTTGGCCTGGTTTCATCAGACCTGGCTATGGAGGGTAGATTTTCCAGGAAATTATTCCAATAGCCTGTGAAGTAGATTTACATTAACCAGTTCAAAATTATAAAAACTATTTCTTCGATGACCATACGAAGCAAATTCTTCTACTTGTTCCACCTCATTTCCTGACACTTGATTTTTTTTCCCTGCCATATGATAAGAATCCTGAACAATTTCTAGGCCTCTAAATTCTCACACACCTCCCTGCATACATTATGGAGATTTTTGAAAACATATTTTCATCTTACTGCAAAGGTAATATGTGTTCATCTTACACAGTCTGGAAATTGTGGACACATTTTAACATGGAAGCAAGCATTGCCAACAACCCTAAAGACCTGAAATCACAGCTCTCAACATCTTGGCGTTTTATATTCTGATTTTCTTTTTATGTAGATTTTTCATAACTGAGATCAGATAATATGTATAGGTTTATATGGAGCTTTAAAAATTGACATCATATTGTGAAACTGCTTTTACATGACTCATTTATAATTACATGTTATGCATCTCTCTTCATGAATGGCCTAGCTGACTTCTAGAGGTTGGGGACAAAACATCTTCATCTTTATGAGTCCAGAACACAAGAGTAGTCGATATTTTTAATTAATTAATGAGTGAATAAAAACCCATTGCCATCAAATTGATTCCAACTCATAGTGACCCTATAGGACAGAGTAGAACTGCCCCATAGGGTTTCCAAGGAGAGGCTGGTGGATTCAAACTACAAACCTTTTGGTTAGCAGCCAAATGCTTAACCAGTGAATGAATAATGGCTGCTTATTGTGTGCTAAGCACTGGAGGAGATCTAGGGGTAAATTGGACATGGATTTTCATCTGTGGAGCTTACAAGACAGGCCTGCTCATAGACTGTTCTAATCTAGAGTGGATGGAGGTATGTCCACAGGAGAGCTATAGGTTAAGTGTAACAGCATTTCACTCCTTTGTATAGTTTCAGACAGACTTAACAGGATTTCTGGAATATTGTGAAGTGGCACACCTAGCCTAACCAGGAAGAAGGGATTCCCAGGGTTTTGTAGATCCTTCTATAGTTTGCATATAATTAAGAGACCTGGACTTCTTTCTTTGACAAGAGGCCTCATCTGGAAAAGACACCTGAGAAACCCCCGAGATGTTAGTGACTTTGCATTGGGACACATTGGATACTAAGAAGACCTTTGTGGGTAGGGATCACTTTCTAAAATTCTAGTCCCCCTCCTCTGACCCCATTCATTGACCATAGGCCTGAGAAGCTGGAGAAGGGAGAATGGATTCTCTCATCTTCTCTGGTCTTCTTTGCCTACCTCCATACCCTGTATTCCATCTGGCAGGTGGGAAACATGGTCAATTAGAATGGAATGATGAAGAAACCCAATTGTCTATAAGCTTCATTCCTACTCATGTATCATAAAAAATCAGTTTGTTGATTCTGACTCATGGCGACCCCATGTGAGTCAGCGTAGAACTGCTCCATGGGGTTTTCAATGGCTTTGACCTTTCAGAAGTAGATCACCAGGCCTTTCTTCTGAGGTACTTCTGGGTGGATTTGAACCACCAACCTTCTGGTTAGTAGCCAAATGCTTAACCGCTTGTACCACCCAGGGACTCCTCATGTATCATAAGCCTTGCTAATTTGTGTGTAAATCTATGATTTGTGAAGCAAAACTGACCCCTACCTTTGTGGTCCAGTGACTCGTAGCAAGATACCCGGAACTTTTTTGGTCTGTTGAAAGATCTTGTTACATCAGGAGGAAAAAAAAAAAAGAAAAATCTGATTTGAGAGATGTGGGTCAAGCTCATTTAGTAAGTAAGATTGGGAAAAAAAAAAAAAAAAAAGCCAAACCAAAACATTATATTAAGTTATACACCAAACTTTATTCTGGTGATATATACAATCTGGCAAGAAACAACCCAATAACTTTTCTGAAAATTACCTCTTTTCATAGGAGAATCAATATGTGTGTGTATGTAACCTGGTCCAATGGATATTACTTTATAATTCTGGACCTTATATACTGAGTGAAGACAGACATCCTGTTCTCATTTCTCCAGTTAATAGGGGCTGATTTTCAACTTAATGGTTGTGAATCAACCCATTAAGGACCTTTGCTTTTTAGGCCTATTTTTCTTGTCTTCCTACTTTCTGTTCTTAGCAGTGGAGCTAAGCTAATTGATAATGTCCCTAGAAGACACACTGAGGGAAAAAGACTTACCAGTCTGTGTGCTTACCTATTAACAACTCTGATGGAAGAAGTCTGGTGGAAAGTGAGATGGATGCTCTTGGGTGGAAAAAGATATTGGGTTATTTGCAGATTTTATTCCATTAAGCTATTCCTTATGCTCATTTCCAAGGTTAATTAAAAATCAAATATACTCTTCACTCAACCCAAGAACATTCTCCTATAAGAACAACTGGCTGAGGGACAGACTTATGAACTATTTACAAGATATATTTCAATCAAAATCTTAGAAATACATTTTAAAAAAAAGCTTCTAATACTATAATTAACTTCCTAACTGCATTGGCTACATATCTTATATCCTTTCCATAAGCTGAGAATCTGAGGTCAAAGGATCAGGAGCTGTACTAGCTAAATGTCAGATTCCTAACCTAAAAGCATGTCTAGTCAGTGTTTGAGAAAGAGTTCTAGTTTTCTTCATATGTGATTATTTTTAGCTGCTGTCGAGTTGACCCCCAACTCATGGCAACCTCGTGCACAACAAAACGAAATGCTTTGCCACCCTTCTGATTGGTTGTGGATTGAACCATTGTCATCCAGAGGGTTTTCACTGACTGATTTTTTGGAAGTAGATTGCCATGCTTTTCTTCCTTTTCTTGCTATAACTATAGTTTGCCAACATGTTTTACATGGACTTCTCTTCCTGTGTTTTCTTCAGTGGCAAAAACCGGATGTTTGAAGTCATTGGAGAGACACTGGAGCATGATTTCCCCAGTTGGATGGCGAAGATCTTGAGACAGCTTTCCAACCCTGGACTGGTCATTGCTGTCATACTGGTGATGGGGTATGTGCCTTCCCTCCTCCTAGACAGAGCCTTTGTAAAGTTCTTCCTGGCTCCTTTTATATTTTAGGTTTTTCTCCCCAAGGGTTGTGCTGTGATCTAACCAAATTCAGCGCTGATTACATGGTGGTGAGAGGCTGAAATTCATGAGCCATATTCTGATCCTATTGGATATGATTCACAGCCATCTGCATCTGTCTTTGCCTCCCCAGGATTATAAGATTTGTTCCCCAGTAACCAAAATAATTATCAGTAAACAGTGAAAGCAAGGGAAACATAAATGCTAAATCTAATCAGCACATTGAGCTTCCCTGTACAGCCAGCCCCCACTTCTAGTTCCAAAAAGCAGATGGCTGTGAATACACAGATATGATGAGCCTCTAAGTTAATATTCCTCTTGAGAGCCCTATAGGTTCTATTTTAGCGCTAAAGGCTTAGAAGTCTTAAAAATCACCCTGTGCTTGTCCGTAACTTGTTTCTAGAGGGCCATCAATAACTGTGTATCCATGATAATAGAATCATAGGACCCAAGGGGTCTCAGAAAAGTCACTTAGTCCATCCCTTCAAAGTCAGAGGTATATCAAAGGAGAATTTGGGAGGAAGCTTTTGTTCTTATGTAATCTTCACTGGCTTCTGACTCTTGGCCATCGTAGATAAACTTATATTCTAAGTAAAAATATATGCTTGCTATGAAGAGCGAAGAAAGTGCCCTAGCCCTTCCTTTTAATCCCCAAGCCCCTTCTAAATAGAAAGCCTGGAACCGTCACTGCTGCTAGCCAAGAGGGCAGGTATTAAACCACCCCCAGGGAGACCTTAGAAGTGATAGCTGATAAAAAGGAGTGGATTTGTTTAAATCAAAGTAAAACTAGGACATCTCAGGAGAAAACTCTCACTGATTTGAAGCCAATGAGCTGGGGTTCTGAGCTGCATTATCATTATCCTCATTATCGTCATCAAGAGCCATAGCGTATACCAAGGGCAGATGTCAGCTTCTTCAGTTTTATAAATTAAGAAACCGACTTACAGGAGTGAATTTATTTTCCCTAGATGAGAAAGGGAGTAATAGTAGAACTTAGAGCAGATTCTTTAATGGTAAATCCAGTGCTCGCTCCTTACACCATGATGCCTTTTAGGAGTGAGAACTAATATCCCGTAGGGATAATTAGGCAATAAAGCATATTACCATTATGTATGCTACAAAACCTTGATCCCGGGTTGGTATTAAGAGTACATAGTAAATCTCTGGTGCAAATGCATCGGAAAATGATCTCTCTGAAGCAGCATGCTTCCCCACATGGCCCTTGATGTGATTTCTTCTCTTCACATTTTCATGATGCAGTGACTTCTGAGAGCATGTGAAGAGGTATGTTTGTGGCTTTTAAGAGTTAAGGCCCTTTAGTGATATAATTGTCTCTTGGTGGTACAAATGGGTTAATGTGCTTGGCTGCTAATGGAAAGGTTGTCGGTTCACCTCTACCCAGATGTGTTTGGAGAGAAAGTCTTGGTGATCTACTTCCAAAAATTCAGCCATTGATCTCAGGCAACATCTAGCTCAATTGGCATAACATAATCTATAAAGAAATTGTTCTACATCCAACTGTGGTGAGTAGCATCTGGGGTCTTAAAAGCCTTCTAGTGGCTACCTAAGATATATCTACTGGTCCCATCCTAGCTGGAACAAAGGAGAATGAAAAGACCAAAGACACAAGGGAAAGATTAGTCCAAAGGACTGATGGACCACAACTACCACAACCTCCACCAGACTAGCTCAGAGCAACTAGATGGTGCCCAGTTACCACTGACTGCTCTGGCAGGGATCACAATAGAGTGTCCCGGATAGAGCAGGAGAAAAATGTAGAACAAAATTCAAATTCACACATACACACACGCACAAAAAGGCCAGGGTTGCTGGTCTGACAGAGACTGGAGAAACCCCAAGAGTATGGCCCCTGGACACCCTTTTAACTCAGCACTGCATCACTCCTGAGGTTCACTCTTCAGCCGAAGATTAGACAGGTCTATAGGGCCAACAGTAACACTCGTGAGAAAACAGCTTTGTAATTCAGTTCATACACAGGAGACTAATGGGCACACCAGCCCAAAAGCAAAGATGAGAAGGCAGGAAGGGACAGGAAAACTGGACACACATGAGGTCGCCATGAATTGGAATTGATTCGACCACAGCTGTGCATATGTTTTAGTGGTAGAATTAAGGTCTCGTGTTTTGAAAAACAAAGACCCACAAAATTCAAGCAACAGATTTTGTTAATATATCCTTAACTTCCTGAGAGACAGATTTCTTTTCCAGCAAACGAATAACATTGTTCTAATGCCACTAAGGATTTAGTAAGCTGTCTCAGGAGTGTGGCAAAGAAACAAATACTGATTTGTGGACTGCCATTGTTCCAGGCACCATCCATGCAGTAACTCATTTAATCCCCACAGTGAGGTTGGCCTCATTAATCATGTTACTGCAGTGCACCGAAGCTTTGAGTAGTTAACTGCCCCCAGTCAAGTGGCTAATAAGTGAATTCACTCTCATGTCTCCGCATTTCTCACTTCTTATTCTCCCCAATTTCTGTAGCACCACACACTGAGTTCATAGTCATGGATGTTCAGAAGAGCTGAAACCCACTTGCTGGGGATGGAGTAGATAGACCCAGGGTTGGCATACTTTTTCTTAAAGGGCAAGACAATACATATTTTAGGTTTGTGGGTCAAGAAATTTGACATAGTACATAAGTACTTATATAGCCACTTTAAAAAGTAAAAATCATTCTTAGTTTGTGGGCCAAACAAAACGGCAGCTGGCCAGGTTTGGCCTAGGACTCATAGTTTCCAACCCTTGATATGTATAGTCTAGTTAAGCCAGTTGCTGTCAAGTCAGTTCCAACTCATGATTACCCCATGTGTGTCAGAGTAGAACTGTGCTCCATAGGGTTTTTGATGGCTGATTTTTCAGATCACCAGGACTTTCTTCTAAGGCACCTCTGGGTGGACATGACCTGCCGACCTTATGGTTAACAGCCTAGCACATTAACCATTTATACCAACCAGGGACTAGACGAAGATGGACTAGGAAGAAAGGCCTGGGGATTTACTTCTGAAAAATCAGCCAATGAAAACCCTATAGATCACAATGGTCCAGTCTGTAAGGGGTTATGAGGACAATGCAGGGCTGGGCAATGTTTTGTTCCATTGTGCATGGAGGTCACCATGAGTTGGGAGCTGACTCCACAGCAGCTAACAATCACAACAACAGTGGAAAGCTGTCAGCATATAAGGGACAAATACATTATCTCCTAGACTGAGTTTAGTTCAGAGCGTCTGATTTAAAACACAAGTTTCAGTTTATCATCTATCTGATATTTTGGATTCCTAAGGTCTCATCTTCTATTTTATGGGGCCCATGCAGTTGGCATGGCTTCTTATTTCCTTTAATTAGAAAATGTTATGAGCATTTTGAGTGTCCCCACTGGATCATGTTAGATCAGCTTGACTGGTTTCGGTAACTGAATAGATAGAAGAGTCGTGTTATTTCTCTCTCAGTGGGCAGTCACGTTCTTTTGGGGACTACAAAATGATTTGTAAGGGTTATCCAATATAAGGTTCATTTCAAGGCAGAAAAAAAGTGATGAATGAACAGAGAATCCTGGAGCTGGAAGTGGCCTGTAAAATCTTTAAGTTCATCCCCCAAATCTAGTCGCTTTGCTAAGGAAACTTTATAACACTCGCACACACACATATACATTCACACACACATTTATTGAGCACCTACTTCATTCCAGATATTGCACCAGATGCCTTCAGGTGTGAAATTTTATTCAAACTTCCATTACTCATGTAAGAGACAAATAAGCTCAGCTAAACCATATCAATAACTGTGTTGCTCGCACCAGATGGCTCATAAAGGATTTAATCTGGCATGTTGGTGAGCAGAGGAAATATGATAAATATCCATTTTTCTGCAACAAACAGTTACCTTTTTAACTGCATTTTTTTGTTTGTTTGTTTTGCTTTAAGTGAGGAGGGGTATATATATTTTTAGCGAATTCTTTGAAGTAACTTTGATTGGTTCTTTCTAGAAATGTAAATGTCATTTAAAAACCAATAATTTTTTATTTTTTTATGAAGCGTTTTCTTTTTGAGGGAAAGAGAAATGAAAACAATGCCAGTTGTCACTGAGTCAGTTCTGACTCATGGCGACCCTATGTGCGTCAGAGTAGAACTGTGCTCCATAGGGTTTTCAATGGCTGATTTTTCAGTAGATCACCAGGCCTTTGTTCCAAGGTGCCTCTGGGTGAGCTTGAACCTTTTGGTTGGCAGTCAAGTGCATCACTCATTTGCACTACTTAGAGACTCCCATTCAAACAATACATATCATGAAAAAAAATCCATGTTAATTAGCTATGACTATGAAGAAATTATCTTCTTTGTTCTCTAAGCGTCGGTAGATTTTCCATTCTCTTGGATGCCATTGTCATTAATTTAAAATGTTATTTTTAGTTACAGTGTAAACTGATGTTAATACATTTCCAAGAACGAGCTAATGTTAGGGAGTACAATGTAGTGGACAGAGCACCTGGCTGAGGACTAGCAACCTTGGGGTCCAACTTCCCAGCTCCATCCCTAGATGCTGTGTGATGCTGAGTGCACCTCTTTACGTCTCTGGATCTCACTTTCCTTATCTACAAAATAGGAGGGTTAGAGCAGAAAATATCTTAAAGTCCACTCCAGTGATCTAGGTAAATAAATGTTAATTTAAAAGGAACCTTGAGAAACACATTGTGTTTTTTGTTCTTACTTTAGTTTGACCATCTATTATCTCAATGCTACCGCCAAGGGCCAGAAGGCAGCAAATCTGGATCTAAAAAGGAAGATGAAAATGGTAGGATACAACTAATCTTATAGAATTACTGTGTTTGTTAATGGCAAGTAGTAGAAAAGACCAGGAAATCTAATCTTCTTCTCTCGTTTTTCCCTGCAGCAAGCTTTGGAGAATAAAATGCGAAACAAGAAAATGGCGGCCGCACGAGCAGGTTGGAGATATCTTTGCATTTTGCAATTTTTTTTCTGCAGTCAGTATGTCCTTCTTTTTAATTTTTTTCCTCAAAGTGGGGCATTTGATGTGGAATGTCATTAATGCTCTGGACAGTTCCTCAATCCTTACTATCCATCTTTCAAGCCCTTCTCAGGGACCTTCCTGCAAGATTTGGGTGTTTTCCAAAAGGAGAAAGAAAAATTCAGTTGTGGTAAACTTAGAAGGAGTGATTAAAAATCTATATATTACTTTGAAAATTGAATAAAATAAAGAAAATATCCATGTAGTCATATACAAATGGCAGATTCTATCCTGCCTATTTTACCCATTTTTATACATGGAAGGATACACTGGAAGATCCCAGAAGAATTCTCTGAACTCAGTGATGTTGATTGCCAGAAGCCATTTGCTAATCCCTTAACTTCTCTTTTTATAACCTCTTTAAGTTGTAAAATATTAGAATAAGACGCACTCTTGTTTGCCAAAATTAATGATATGCTTCAAGATCCACGTAGAAAAGTGATGCCTAAGAGCTTCAGTGAAAATCTTCTGTATTCAGTGTCTTGTTTCCAACTTTTCCCTCATTTCCAAACTTTAAAACTCTCTGTATTACTATTAGTACAGTAAAACCTGTGAAAGCCAAAACCTGTGTAAGGCAGAAACCCATCAGAGAAGGAAAACTCAAATATTTTCCACTAAATAGAAAGCAGTAGAAAAATGGTGACTGTACCCTGTCAAAGGTGGAAAACTTTCAAGACCCAGAAAAGCAAGGCAGTCCCACTGAGTTTCGGCTCTCACAGGTTTCACTGTATTTTTCTTTTTTCTTTTTCTGCAAGTAATAGAAAACCCAAATTGGCTTAAGTTAAAAAAAAAAAATTATTAGTCTATACAACTGAACTGCCCCATCAGTTCTACTTTGTCCTATAGGGTCGTTAGGAGTCCAAATCGACTGGACAGCATCAGGTTATACAACTGAACAGGGAAATGGTACATATGGTTTCAGGCCCTGCTTTTTTCCAGGTTTAGAATGGGGCCAGGGCTGAGCCCCATTTCTTTGTGATTCTCTCTCTCAGCACTTTCATCATGGCTGACCTGACGGCAGCAGGAGAGTATGCAGCAACTTCCAGGGCCATTGAATTATGCTCTCAATGTATTTAGACAAATTTGGTGTTTTGTCTATTTCATCTACTAGGAGAAATTTTTCCCAGGGTCTTCCGAACTTCTTCTATCTCAGCTGATACACTTTTATGCCTGGCGTATCTGTCATCCTTTCTCTTCGCTGTCATCCCTATCACTCTATCCTGTTTTGGATCCTGTTTCCTATTTATCCCACCTTCCTCTTTCTTAGATTGCTCACATGTTTTGGTGACGTGCGTAAGAGGTAAATTTTTGAAGCATTGTATGTCTAAAGCTGTTCTTCTTTTACCCTCCTCTTTGACTGATAGTTTTGATGGATATAAACACTATTTGGTTAGATTGGAAATAATACTTCTTTAGAATTTTGAAGATACTTTTCCATTGTCTTCTATATTCTAGAATTGTTATTGGAAAGTCCAAAGCCATTCTGACTCTTAATCCTTCTGATGTGACTTCCATTTTTGTTTGTTTGTTCTGCCTGTCTAGCAAGTTGTAGGATCTACTTCTTATCTCCAATGTTTCGAAATTCCATGACGATGTGTTTTGGGGTGAATTTATTTTTATTCTGTGTGCTCATCAGTGGAAGCGCTTGCTGTTCAGTTGTAAGAAAATTTCTTGAATTATTTCTTGATTTCTTCCCCTTCATTTTTTTTTTCTCTGTTTTTGGAATTCGTATTATTTGATTATTGGACCTCATGGACTGGTTCTCTGATAATCTTGCTTTTCCTTTTTATATACCTTCCTTTATCTCTTTGCTTTAACCCATGGATATTTCCTTAGTATAAATTTTCAATACTTTCTCTTGACTTTTTCACTTTTGTTATTACAATTTTAATTTTGGAAAACTGTTTTGCTCTCCAGTTGTTCTTTTAAAAAATAACATTCCATTTTGTTTAGTGGCTACAATAGTTTAGTCTTCATGAGAATATGAAATCTTTTTTAAACTTCTTTCCATTTCATTGTCTTTGTTTTAGCCAAGATTTTTGTCCTTTTTTATTGCCCTATTGGTCTGTCTCTTTTATATTAGAGACTTTCTTCAGATGCCTTGTGATTCTTTGCTGTCTGTTCATATTTAAGGGTGGAACAGGAAGGCTTTGTTCATGTGGGTGGAGCTGTGGACAGATGTTTACTATAGGGCTCTGGCTGGGCTGTCTGATAAACCCCCATGTCAATATCTTTAGGCTTTTCCTGTTGAGCTGATGAGATTCCCTCAGAAAAGCCACTTCCAGACTTCTGCCTGGGAAGTAAAGCTTATCTAGCTGCATTCTAGTACCCAAGTGGGAAGCAGGGCATGGTGTATTGGCTTTCAATGTATAAATGCTCACTCACACTTCCTGTATTCACTGTGGTACTCCTTGCAGTCTTCTAGCCCACAGACATCTCTATTTTGCTATTTCTGGAGAAAATTCTTCCAGTCTTCTACCAAGACAGGAGACAGGGGATTAACCCATCTTTGCCAAGTGAAAGAGTACATCTGGGATTCTTTTAAACAGACATCCAAACCATCCTTCTGTTTTGGTTCACTAATTAGAGATGTACCTGTGGTTGCCAATTCCGGAGCCTTTGGAGATTTTTTCAGTGTAAATTATGTTGCTTCCCATTTTTTCCTTCTGCTGGCTTGGAATTCTAATTTGTCAGAACTGATTAGTCACTTATCATTAATCCATTTGCTTTTCAGCTTCTAAAATTTCATCACTGTTTCCTCTTCTCCTGTTCTCCCCATCCTTGTAGGTTTATGCCTAAAAAAAATTCCTTTGCTGTTATGTTTCAACCAAAACCCATTGCCATCGAGTTGATTCTGACTTATAGCAACCCTATAGGACAGAGTAGAACTTCCCCATAGAGTTTCTAAGGAACAGTTGGTGGATTCAAACTGCCAGCCTTTTGGTTAGCAGCCAAATGCTTAACCACTGTGCCAGCAGGGTTCCATGCTGTCATGTTTGAGAGGGAGCAAAAGTTTAGTCCAGTGTAACACCACAGCCTGGGCAAAATTTCCAATCTCCTACACCAAAGGTAGCAATGGCTTTATCTGCGTCTTAATCTGTTCATTCTATAGTGATTATCTGAATTACTGTATTGAGGTGGAGTTTTGAATTAAGTCCACCTCAGCAAGAATTGATTAGTATTTTCTACTCTTTGCAAAGGTTAGGAAATAGAAGCATGTGTGTCACACATACTAGCAGAGCTTTTGTATATTGTTGAGATTGTGGCTATAATTCAACACTGCCAAATTAGTGTGAAGAATGGTGAATGAAAAGTTCTGACTGCTAAGATTTGAATTCTAGTTAAGGCATATTTCTTGTTTCAAATACCGACATAATGCTAGAGCATACTATTTCTCTGATGGTTTCCCATAATCTGTGTTTAAAAAAATATTAATAATCCCAGTTACATTGTTGTTTCCTCAGGAACTTCATAGACAACTTGACACGTAACAATCATTTCAGTAAATACCTATTGAATATCTACTGGATAATAAAGAACTCTTTTACTGGAAAAAATTAAAAGGAATATATTAATGACATAAACAGTAATGAATAAATACTATAAAAAGCAGAACTGCCATTCTGCCTTTTTAAAATTTCTGTGGGGATTTTGTAAAATAAGAAATATAAAAATATTTTAAATCTAAAAATGCTAAACATCAAGCGAAAAGTGTAGAGAATATGGAAGATACAGATTTCAGGCCCTTTTATTCAGAACCATTAACCACACTAAAAGCTAAGCTTCAGTTTCTTCTTCTTCATTTATTTTTTGTTTCTTTTTTTTGAACAGCTGCAGCTGCTGGTGGCCAGTAGGTTTCAGAGTTATGCATGGAGCCCAGAAGTACTTCTCACTCTCACTGTGCTGTTCATGGGTAATGAAGTATGTGAAGGTACAAAGAACACACACTGTGGAGTTGCTTTTCCCCTGTTCTATCCCTGATGGACTGTCAAGTTCATGCTGGTCAACCAAGGCATTGCCAATCCCAGTTCGACAAGAAAAAATTCCAGAGTATTCTGCAGTAAGGATTTGTTCCTACACTGCCACTTTCTCCCCAGACCCATTTCCCCGATATTTTTCCTAAGAAATTGAGTTTAAAGGCAAATGTGATCCAGCAATACAGGTCATTGGTTTATTTGGTGGGTTAATTTAAAAAAAAACATTTTGCTTATATGAACTTCTATTTTACATATTTCTTTTTCCTTAGCTTTTCTTGGACTGGGAGCAGGAATATGTCACCCTCTTTTTTTCCTCTAAATTCAGAAATATCTTGATAAAGCATTCACTGTAGTTATTCATTTACTTACTGTTTGAAACAAACCACTCTTTACTTCATTTTTATCTACCTATCTCCCCACCTGCAGCCCCCACAGATATACACCCAAGACCTTTCTTTTGATGCTGGATTCAATATGAACACAAATGGACTCTTCAAAAGAAAAATTTTAAATGAATTAGGGGCCTGATCAGTATCGGTTTGAAGGTCTCTCACCTTGAGGAGACACACAGGCCTAAGACAACCAAACTATTTATGAGTTAAAAAAAAAAAAAGACAATGTATGTGACTGCTGCTCTGTCACAGTCTGCTCACTTGACCTCCCTGATCTCATCTTCTGAGTTTAGATTCTAATATTCTATACTTTTTGTTTCGTTTTGTTGTTAAGATTAGGAAAACACATACTTTTATCTGGAGCTTTAGTTAATAGAAGCATTTAAGCATTATTATTTATTTAAAGTTTCAGTTAACTTTGACTAATAACACTCAATGCCCTCAGTTAGCCTTGTTATGTGACTTCAGTTGCATCCCCAGACTCAGTATCCTTTTCTGGAGTTAAGCCAATTTACCTGCCATTTCCTACAATTCACTTGCTGATTTTTGTCTTTGAGCTTCCTCCTGCTTAATCTTCCACTAGCCCTAGAATATTCCTCTGCCAATCCATATGGTCATCTCTTCCAACATAGCAAATCCAAGACTTCCTTCCTTTGGTGAGTCTTCCAGAATAGCCTCCATTCCCAACTGTGTCACTCTTTTGAGAGGCTTCCTTTAATTCTTTATTTCAGAGTCTATTATTTAGATTGATTGTGATGTGATTTTCTGATGGTTCTTTATTGTTTCCTGTATGCATGGGCCATCTTTCTTAAACAGATTGTAAGCTCCCTATGAGCAGGGATCATATCTTCTAACTCTTAGCATGCCGTATATTGCCTAGTATATTGCTGTGTACAGGTAGGAACTCCAAAAAAATGCTTGTTAATTAAATTGAATCAGTTTAACTTAAAGCAGTTGCATTGTGAAACAAAATCTTCTGTTATCTGAATGAAAAGTGTTACTATGATATAAGAAATGGATTCTCTGTTGATATGCTGAGTTTATTATCTCATTAGATTGTAATGCAGATGAATAAGTGAAACTGGTGTTTATTTCTACTTGGATCATTTTTGCACTGTGTATTAATGAGATAAAAGAATTTATTTATATGTGTTGTCAGATTTACAATGTGGATGATACCCCCTTGCCTTTAATCTACTTCATAGGGATGATAATGAGAGATGACAAATTATCCCCCAATTGCAGTCATCTCCTGAAGGCAATGTAGTTTTTGCACAAATGTTCATGGTATAAGCATTCAGACATTATGCACTAGATTTCAGAGTTTCTGTGAATTTAAAAAAAAAAAAGAAATACACTGGATTTTTATAGAACCTAAACACCCACCTGATTTAAATTAAGCATTTTTAGAAATGTCTCCATAGAGCTGTTGAAAACATTCCCATACTGCTATATGGTATATGGGCAAGGATCTAATGTCTGAAACAGTGAATGCCTCTTCCAAAGTTGTTTGATGGCTGTTCAGGGAAGAGCCTTTCACTGGGAGGATCTGGCTGCCGTGGTTTATTTCTGTATCTTTATTTCCATATCTGATGGTCGAAGGTATAGAAAAAAATTAGAAGGCAAACAAGCAGAAAACAAGATACACCTTTTATTCTTTCAGAGGGGAAATTAAAAACATAAGCTCTGACAAATATATGGAAAAACCAAGTTTGCTTATCTGAAAAACTTTGCCATTCATTGAGAAACTGAAAAACTATATTTCAGCACATTCTTTGAATTATCCCCTTTGGCTTCTAAAAGGAACACATAGTTTAAGCCATATTAAGAGGTTATGAGTCAAAATTAACTCAACGGCAATGGGTATACATTGGTATATACCTTAGTATAAGCCATTTAAAAAAAAAAAAGTTGTCATCAAGTCAATTCCAACTCATAGCGACCCTATAGGACAGAGAAGAACTGCCCCATAGGGTTTCCAAGGAGTGGCTGGTGGATTTGAACTGCCGACTTTTTGGTTAGCAGCCTGAGCTGTTAACCACTGTGCCATCAGTATGAGCCATAGTAAGAGGTTCATCCCTGGATGGAGCAAGTGGTTAATGCTCGGCTGCTAACCAAAAGGCTGGCAGTTTAAGTTTATCCAGAGGCACCTAGGAAGAAAGCCTTGGTGACCTACTTCTGAAAAATCAGCCAATAAAAACCCTATGGAGCACAGGGCTACTCTGACACAAATGGGGTCTCCATGAGTTGGAATTGACTTGATGGCAATTGATAAACTGGTATACTAACAGAAATTGGCCTGAACTATGCTTTCTAATCCTGATAATAATCTGCAAGTGCAAAAGCCCATATTGGCCATGTCTGGAAAGTACAGGGAACTTGATTCTTGTCATATGTTGAGGTTGGGATAAGCCTTGCTGACCAGTGGGCAGAGGTTGAACCCTGGTTCTCGAAGCTGCCTTAAGACTACAGGTTTCACTACTTTCATTGTTTAGTGGATGAGTTTATACGGAGAGGTTTTGTCTTATTTCTCTGCCTAGCCCTCCAGTGAATTTTATGGACTGTAGTCCTGCTTCTTGAACACAGTCAACTTGACTGGAACTTAGAATATTTATTTAGTTTTACCAGCCCCTTCCCGAAAGGGTGTGTATAGATGGTGGGGTAGCAGGCTTGTAATAAACACCGAGTACCACACTGGGTGCGGTATCGTCGGGAACTATGATGAGGCCAGTACACCATCATCCGTATGCTCAACATTTATCCAACACCTGCTATGTGTCTGTATCCCAAGAATCACCTGCTTTCTAAGTTTCCTCCCACTGTTTTATCCCATCTGCCTATTGGTTTCCAGCATCTTCCTTAATCCTGCTGGAACTTATAAAGCTGTTTTAGGATTGAACAAAGTTAAGGCATTTGGGGCAAGGCTCTCTTTTTGCACAATGGCACAGATATTGCACGCTATGAACAGATAGAAATTGGTAAAGAGATTTGCTGTCTCATTTTCTCTATCAAATGTAATGTCAAGCAAAATCCAGATATTATCCTCACATTTTCCAGCCCTCTCCTGAAGTGAAGATTCTTTGATGAACAAATAACCCTGGACCTCAGAATTGGCATTGTTTTCTTGGTGAATGGAATGTAAACCCAGGAGATTAGCCTGCAATCCAAAACCAAGTCCTTGTAGGGAAAATCAAGAGAGCGGTTCAGCAAAGGGCAACAGAATGGGAGAGAGGGGAGGGGAGGGGTATGAAGACTTTATTGCCTCATTGAGGTCAAAAAAATGGGCCTGTGATAATCCCCAGTCATAACTTTCTTTTGCCATGTTTGCTTTACAAAGATAAAAGTGTCTCCACAATTTAATTGTAAAGAAATAAATACAAGAAATTTAAGAAGGGGGTTTGAAGGATTCTCGTCTGTCAATACATATATTCACTAGATTTTTTGGAAGGGACATTGAGACTTAAATATAACTTTATCTTTGTTTGTGTTTGTTTAAATAAATGATAGCCATACCCTTTATTGCCATCTACTTCCTGCAAGAAGGAAACGTCATTATGTGATGCTGTCAGGAGTTCTCTGGCCCCTATTTCAGAGTTCTTTTCCAGAGTTCTCTTCCAGAGTTCTCTTTCAATGGGTCCCCGTGGACACTTGATCTTGGATGGTACAGCTGTCTTTGAGGCCAGTCTCGATGACTCAGTAATTATGAACAATGAAAAAAATGTGTACACAAAATACTTGACATCTTCTGGGAACTCAGACATTATATAATACACATCTTCTTCATACACACCACCAAGAAGTTTTCATAGAAATTATCATAGTTATTTTAAACTTGTAGTAGTAGTACATGTTCATGATAGTAGAGTTAGAAAATACATAATAGTATAAAAAGCAAAAGAAACCCTATAATTTCACTATCTAGGACACTTTTTGTTAACATTTCGGTGTATGATTGTTTTTTTTTTTCCAAATTCATGCACATAGAGACTCAGTAAAATATTTTGGATCATATGACGTATCTAGTTCCCACCCTTTTTCATTTAACATTTCCCCATGTTATTAAAATTACTTTTAGGCATTTTTAATGGTTATAAAATATTTCTTCATATCCACATAGCATAATTAGTTGAGCCATTCCACTATTGTTTTACATTTAGTTTGATTTTGATAATTGCATTGAATATTTTTGACCATAAATCTTTGACTAAAGCTATAATTATTTCTTGAGTAAATATTTTCACAAGGAATTAATGAGAAAAAAAAAAAAACATTTTAAAAGTTCTTGTTGTATGATCAAATTATTTCCCAGAAGTATGATAACAATTTATATTTCTGTATTACTGCATTTAATTATTAGCTTTAAATTTGGATCCTCTTAGAACACATTTTGTATACAAGTATTACTTTGTCAGAATAGACTTTTAAATCAATATATACACAGCTGAAGGCAGTTTTGGTCAACTTAATTGATGCAAATATATTACT